AAATATTTAGGTGGCGACTCTGTATCTGGCAAAGCAGTCCATGTTTGGCACTTCTTTCAAAAAATCTGTTTTCAAAAACGATTTGCCGGATTTGGACTCTTTGATGATTTCATCGGTCTTGCATTGCACTCTGTGAGATTAGATACAGGACCGTGACACAAATTGAGTCCGAACTGTAGCGAGGCCCAAGGGCGCGTCTACACCAATATTATCAAATTAGGGTTTTCCTCATTTTCTTTACAAACACAGTAAATCATTTCCCAAATAACTTAACAACAAACAACTTAACAACACCAATCATAAATATCAAACCCTAAATCCCCTTTTATGGCTTTCAAGAAAATCCATAGTGAATGTGGTTTTTATGCAATAAAAACTACCACATGTCTATCCATAGATGAAGTATTGGAAAGGAGCAAAGAAATCCCTACCTCTTGAAGCAAAGAGATAACGACCCAAAAATCATTGGCGACGAAACCACAAACCATTCGGAAAGGAAGCCTTTGATGAGATCTACAATCTTTCTCAAAGGACCATTGTGGAAAGATCACTCTGTGAGTAGATCTAGAGATCTTAGAGCAAAAAGTGATTTTGGAGAGGAAGAGAGAGACTTACAGCTTGGAGAGGGAAAAACAGAAGAAAAAGTAAAGAAAACGTTAACTGAGGGACCTATTTATAGTGCTAGGTCAAAGTAAAGATAAGCCCCAAAGTCAACCCAAAATATCAAGTCAAAATCCCCAAAAAGTAGGGCCCAAACCAGACTGAAAAATTTGAAAAAAATTTGCAGGTGTCGACCCTTACAGCAGAAAAGCAAAGAGTGCAACAAGCAGGGTGTCGATCATTCCCTAGGCTGGTGTCGACACCAAAAAACAGTGGGCAATTTCAGAACAAGGGTCGACCTTTCCCAGATTGGTGTCGACCCTTGTGCCCAACAAAAAGAGAAGGTGTCAACACCACCAAGACCGGGGTCGACCCCAGAATAAGATTTTCAAGCTTCCAAACAACTTTTCAACGTAAACAAGCGTGAACGAACAATCCCAACAAGTTTAAATCAATTTTCACTCATCCACAACCAAGATTCAACAACACCAAAGATTCCCAAAACATAATAAAGGATTCAAATACATTTCTCAAAAGTTTAAAAGGGTACAAGTGCTACAGCACAGTCCATTTAGGTTCATTTTTAATTGTTGTGCTGGATGTATGAGTAGTATCTCTTTAGTAATTCTTGTTCTCCTTGAGTAGAGCTAGAGCTTTGAACCATTGCATTTAGGAGTAGGAACAAGCTGATTTGAGTTGAGCAGCAAACAATGTATTGCGTGTTTGTGCTTAACTTAGCAGGTAAGGAGCAGTGCGTGTGCCTGGTTCTAGTTCGGTTGAATTTTGGCTGTTATTGTTTGAGCTCAATTTGGCCAAAACAGAAAGCTACTCCAGTTTGTCTCTGCTCATTTTGTGAATACCATAAGATATTATTTCCTGGTGGTTTTAATATCCTATAGACGGATTGATTACTTGATTGGCCAGCACAGATATCTTATATGAAATTATGCCTCAAAGCTCATTATATAAAGTCATAGATTGGCTTAAAATATATTAGTAAAACGACACTTAAAATGAAAATATTTGTTTTCAACTTAACAAACCCAGGTGGCAAAGTCCCATGGAAACAGTCTTCTTCAATTGTCCCTATACAAAGGCATGTTGTCACAGCCTCAACCCACACACCCTCTTAGGCTAAAGTCACCTTCAACTTGGATCATATCATTACTACATACTGCTATGTAAATTGGTCTATGTTACATATGACAGATTGATAAGCCTTTCATCTAACTCTGGACACGTGAGGTTGCCACCACTCATCATGCTTGTATCAAATTAGAAATCTGATAATAGCTACTGAATGCCCTCGTATTAAAGAATCTAAATGTTATTAGGTTTGAGGGCTTTGCTCAACATAGTGAAGAGTTTTTCACACTTAAACTGAAAGAAATTGGCTCAGCTCTTGCTTAAGCTTTCACTCATTTTGCTTAAGAACTAGGTTAAATGACCCTTTAGCCATCCAAAGTCCAAGTAGTTGTACTTGTATTGCAGTCCTATGAACATACTGTTTTAAATGCTCATTTAAGTAAATAGATGGGCATGCTTCTTCAATATGTTCATCTAGAATTGAAAGTAAAACCAAACTTAGTTCAACTATTTAGTGGCTGATCTATTCATATAGTGGGTTTATTATTATTTTTATTGAGATTAGTCTAACTAACTATATAGTTATGTTCATTGGAATTATGAATGTCATGTGTAAGAATTTCTGATAGTTCTGTTCAACACAAACTCTGAGAGATCTCTAGTCAATAATATTAGTAAGAGTTAGTGTTAAAGATTTGCCTTGAACCTTTGATATAGATTACTGATTTTTGTGTAACATATATTCTCATATTTTTTGTGCTTCTGCAGCTGACCTCCAGTCCGGAATCTTTGCTGAGTGTCATTACAGGGACTCGGCATCATCAAGCACCAATAATTATATCTATTTACGATTCAGTAATCTTTTGTTGTCACATATTGGATCTATTGAGAGATTACTGTGGGTCCAAATGTTAGACCTCAGCCACAACCAACTTAGCTCAATTGAAGGTAAACTACAATTAATTCTTTAAAATTTTTATTGTCACTTGAATCTGGTTTTGTGGTTTCAATTTTCAATGCATTGTATTTCTCTATCTATCTATCTGTCTATCTGTCTGTCTGTCTGTCTGTCTGTCTGTCTGTCCATCCATATGTGTGTATTATGTCTTCATATATACAATATTATACTTAAAAACATTTGTACAACATTAGTTTATTGTATGGCCATCTTTATTTTGTAAAATGGTGCCAGTCAAAGTCTTGATAGTTTCATGGTGCATTTTAATGCTTAGAAGGCATTTCTAATTGTACGGGCACGAAATATTCTTCTCGTATAATCCTGTTGATCAAGATTGCGCTCCTCCGTACGTCGTCGCTTTATTCCCTGAAAACACAAATGTGAGCTAGCCGGTGGGTGTGTACCGGATACCTCTCCGATGCCTAACTCAGTAAAATAGACAAATAGACAAAAAGCTCTGTGTATTTGAGGATCAAAGTTGTGTTACATCTCCATAGGTGATGTTGTGAGCTTTTATAGGTTCCGCGTGGCACAATCCTAGTAGGACTCTTACTCCTCCATGTAGAGTCCTCCTAGGAGTCATACTCCTGAAAGATAATGCTTATCCTTCAACACCCTCCTCACTGCTTAAACCAAGTGTGATGGTTTTACCATGGTCGGACTCCAATATGACCGAGGTAAGCATGGCTATGCTAAGCCGCAGACTAGACTGAGCTAACTTTAGTTCGGCTCTTCCATTCATTGCTCTTACCCCAGTTTCTCCCAGTGCTAACCATGGTGTGATCAGACCGAGCTAACAAACAGCAAGGCTCTGGCCGAGATAACCACGATAAGTCATGACCGGGCTAACTTTGAGTACGGCAACCGGGCTATATTCACAGCTTCTTTTAGATCGGACTAACTTCAAGATTCTTACGGACCGGGATAACAATAAGGCTTAATAGGACCGGGCTAACTACAAGCCCTCTTTCATCCAACCCTTCTTACTGTGGCCTAAAGAACGGCCCATTTACCCAGCTCGGCCCATTTAGGTATAAATTACCCTCTCACTAATGATTATTTAAATGAAGTGGCCATCTTTATTTTGTAAATTGGTGCCAGTCAAAGTCTTGATAGTTTCATGGTGCATTTTGATGCTTAAAAGGAATTTCTAATGATTATTTAAATGAAAGTAACTGAGTGCTTTTTATCAGTCTTTATGACAGGATTGCAGACTATGCAGCTTCTTTCTTGCTTGAACCTTAGTAACAACAAAATGGGTAGTTTTTCTGCTCTGGAGCCTTTAAAACTGCTAAAGTCATTGAAAGTGTTGGATATCTCATACAATGAAATCGGTGCCCACACTGTCGACACAAGAAGGTACTTGTGCTCTTCTCCCCTCTCCCATATAGTAGGAAGTGATTGAAATTTTGGTGAATTTATAATTAGTGGTGTCAATGTGACAAATTACTGGAAAGCGTTTGCAATTTTTAAAGACTCGAAGTTGACACAATTAGACATTATTGTTGTTGCTGAAGAAAAGTTTAAGTTGTTTCTGGTTAAGATATTACCTGCGCTTAATTGGCTTGATGGTGTAGAATTGCATTGATTCTACATTCCTTATCTTGTTTCTCATACGGTTAAGTTGTAGCTTATTTTCATATAATTTACCAAAGAACAGTTGTTGTTTTATAAGATAATGAACATTTGCTTATAGATGCTTTTAACCCCAACTATTTTGCCATATGGTGTTTTGGTAATTTTTTAAATTTATCAATTGATCTCTATTTTCCCCGTTTAATTATTCTTGGTTTTGTATTAGATCAGTGAAATATTTAGCTGAATTTTTCATCCAAGGAGATCAATAGAAAAATACAGAGGAAAGAGAAGAAGAATATGCTTATAGTTTTTATGGATTTAGAAAAAAAAAAAAAAAAAAGAACTTAGGATGGGGTGTGCTTTGAGATATAATATGGTGGGTGTTAGACAAAAAAATATTGACAAAGGTTATATTAATGCGATGAAGGGCATGTATAATGGAATTGTGACTACAATTAATTCACTCGCAAGAGAAACAAATGAATTTCCGATTACTTGAAGATTACACCGAGAGTTAGCCTCAAGTCCGTACCTATTTGCCTTAATTATAGATGAAGGTTAGACATATTTTAGATGATGTCTTGTGATTTATGCTATTTGCAGATGCTATTATCATAGTGGATGAAATTAAAAGAGGAATTAATAGTAAATTAGAAATTTAGATAGAATAGAAGCACTTGAGTCGTTAAAAAACATTTTAAAATAATACTGAAATTGTACACATGGAATATTACTTCAATAACAGTAGAAATAGAAATAACAGACAAGTTAAGGTTGAAAGGCAGGAGAGACCAAAGGGTGAGCAATTTTGTTATGTAGGCTCAATTATTAATAAGAATGGAGTGAGATTGAAGATAACACAACCCATAGAATCAAAGTAGGCTCAATTAATGCTATCTCCATTTGAAGCAACCTCCATATGTGTCCAGGTTTCTTTAGTGGACTGGATAAAAGTAATTGTGGTCCGAAATGTTGGGCTGTTGCAATTGTGTTAGTTCAATAGCGATTGATGACAGTATTTTGGCTTGAATGAACTTTCCAAAGAGATTAAACAAATCAAAATCAAGAGTACATCGAAGAAACTGATTGAGTAAACGAAACCCAAAATAGCATGGATGTAGTCAAATGTGCAGGCTGCAGTGGCCTCAAGTATCTGAACTATAGCGATCCCGGTATTCCCTGTTGTTGTTTAACTGTAATCCGGACTTGGTTCCGTAGATTTGTTGTTGTCCTATCCTCTTTCCTATCCCTTTCTCTTTATCTTAGAGGTTTGGGTTGTGTTGGACTTATTGGGAATAAGTTGGTGATGTTTTAGAACTCATAATCTTTGCCCAGTTTTTGGCCTCTCCGCTCGAGCGGGGGTTTCGTCGCTCGAGCGGGGAAATCACCTATCCAGTGTTTCGTCTGCAGTGGTATACGCTCGAGCGGGGTATTGGACGCTCGAGCGGGAGTTTGTGTCTGACGCTCGAGCGGGGAGTTTGACGCTCGAGCGGGCATCATGTCTGTATAAGTTCTGGGAGCGTGCATCTGCCGCTTGAGCGGGGGATTGGACGCTCGAGCGGGGATCTGTGAGTGACGCTCAAGCGGGGAGTTCGACGTTCGAGCGGGGCGACCTGTATAACACATCGAGGTTCAGCTTTTTGAATCACTTTTTGATTTCCTTTCTCTCTCTTACTTTTCCGAAAAAGCCATTGGAGAGCACCTCACTCTAAAACCTAACTTCTCTCTTAGGATTGATCTAGCTAGAGTGTTTTCCTCACCATGGGCCTTTGTAAGAAGTGTGTTGATCGTCGAGGGCTTCGTTGTGATCCAAGAAATTTGGGATTTGGAGCACTTTGATTTCGGGTCATCTTCTCTATTTGAGTTCTTCATTTGAGGTAGGGATTCTTCTTGTTCTTTCTCAATACTCCGTCTATAGATAGACATGTGGTAATTTTTGTATTGCATGAAAATCGTATCATGTTGGATTTGTTTGAAAATCATGAAATAAACCTAGGGTTGGTTGTGTGGAGAATGATTTTGGCTTCATTGATTGTTGTCTTGGCTAATTAAAACATAAATTAGCGTGTTGTAGTTAAGTGAAGAAAAGCCCTAAATTATATTTTGGTTGGGTAAATTATAAGGGGGGTTTGTTGACCATTGTGTGTAAAACCTCTTTTGTCAAAATGAGTGTGGTAAGGGTGTTAATGCCTAAGGGATTAACCACGGTTTTGGAGTTGATTTTATGGGAGCAAGATTAGTGGAGTTGATTTTGTGATAACAAAAAGGAAATGGAATCGTTTTTGTGAAAATGAAGGAAGTGTTTTCGAAATAAATTTGAGAATTGGATTGTTGTATCTTGAGTGTTGAACACACATGTAGAAGTTGTATCTTTAACTACCATGTTAATATTGTTGTTGGGTTTGTGATTCATGATATATGAGTCTTTTAATAGATGTACTAACTATATGCATCTAGAGGTTTTGTCCTTGGTCATCGGTGGAGGATGACACGGTTGTGTAGAATTGTCGGGTATGCATTTTACCATTGATTAATTGAACATCGTATGTGATGAAGTGCTAGATACATTATATATATGTATATTTGCTCGGAAGGAGATAGTCATGTGTTCATATGCTTTAACACTTTGCTGGTGTCTTGATAGTTTATGTATATGCATTATACATGTTGGTTATGCTTTGATGTGCTGTGATTGTTGGTGTTATGCCCCGCGCTTAGAATCAAAGGTATCATACCCTTCCAGCTAGCGCCTGGAGAACTGACTGCGCTAATAATCGAAGGTACCATACCCTTCCAGTTAGCGCCTGGTAAACTGGCTTGTTGTTGAATGGGGAGAACTGTCTGCGCTAATAATCGAAGGTACCATACCCTCCAGCTAGCGCCTGGTAAACTGGCTTGTTGTTATGTTGTTGAGTGGGGTGTATTGTTGGCTTACTACGCACATAGCTAGTAGAGTGAAATGGGATTGTTGTTGTTTCGTTGTAACTGAAAATATCATGGATTTGATTGGTTACAGTTCGGAGGACTGAGTTACTCCATTGGTTGATTGTATACAGGTGGGTGGGTTGTAAATTTATATTTTTACAAAGATATGCATGTATAGTTATGATAGTAATAGAAACGAACCAAAATGTCATTTTTGACTTTGGAAAGTGTGGAGGAGAACGAGTGTTTTATAGACAAACATGTTTGAAAAGGTACATCTGAGTATGTATAGGAAATGGAAGAGAGTATCGGGCTTAGTGAGATTACTTCCTAAGTATTTGTTAACGTTATGAAAGATTGGGAATGGGGGTTAATGAAAGGAAAAAGGAAAGATAAACTACTTGTAGCATTGAATGAAACGGTTGTTTTCGAGAAAGCTCATACATATATATTTTGTATAAACTGTCACATTACTATTCTAGTATGAGAATGAGTGTTCATGATCATAGCTATCTGTAAGTTGTTATTGTTGAGGATCATGTTGAGTTCCCTACTGGACTATATGTTCATCCCACGTTGTTGAATCTTTTTCAGGTATTAAGCAGGTTGAGCTGCAAGATTTGGTTCTACTTATTTACTGGCCACGGGGCCTCAGTTATGTTGGCGGAAAGCCATTGTTGTAAAAAGGGTTACACCCTTCTTCTTGTTCCTTAAGTGATGTAAGCCCAAGGGCAATTTATTAAGTATGTTCATGTAATATTTACTTTGCATACGAATGAATGTATTGTTAATCACTTCTACGGATTGAATGTATGAGTTTATTTCCGCATGTTATCCTTGAAATTGAATTAAGTTAATGAATTTGGTAATGACTTCGAGTAATAAAAAGTGGGGCGTGACAAGCAATCCAGAAATTTCAGATTAGTACCTTAAAACACACAAGACTATCCAAGAAGCACCATTACAAGAAAACACAATGTGCGCAGTCTGTAGAAGATTCCTCATGAAAGAAAGTGATGCATTATGTGAAAAGCATAGATCCCATGATAAAAAGTGTGTGCGTGACTCTTGGAGTTCGACAAACACTAGATTCAATCCTAGTAGTGATATGAAAGCTGGACCTCCGACAAGAGAATCTAAGCACGACAAAGGAAAGTCAAACCACTAGGAATCAAGGGGTATTTGGTGAGTAAAGGCGGAGGCTCCCCCTCAATCAATAAATTCTATTTACATAATATTTATTTGTACTTAACAAAGATAATTCGTAATTGACATCAATCTCTAATATGTGTTCATATTTTAACATATATATTATAACTAAGCAAAAAAAATAATTGTTAGAATATATTTATATATTTAATATATAACATATATATACACACTCCCATAGGCGTTTCTAGCCTTAAAAACTTCTACATACCTTTGCTCCTCTGAATCGCCCCCACCCCCGCTTTGTGCAACTAAGGGTGGGACAAGTTTCTGGGCAATTCTACCATAGTGGTGGGGGATGGGTGGGTGACGGTGGCGGGTGGTGGGTGGTAGCGAGTGGGTGGTGGTGGTGGCGGGTGGTGAGTGGTGGTGGTAGGTGGGTGGCGGGTGGGTAGTGGGTGATGGTGGTGGTGGTGGTGGTGCTGGTGGCTGGTGGCTGGTGGTGGTGGGTGGCTGGTGGTGATAGGTGGTGGATGGTGATGGCAGGTGGGTGGTGAGTGGTGGTGACAAGTAGGTAGCGGGTGGTGGTGGCGGTGGGCAGTGGATGGTAGTGACGATGGTGGGTGGTAGCGGGTGGGTGGCAGGTGGATAGTGGTGGTGGCGAGGCGTGAGTGGTGGCGGCGAGGGGTGGCAGGTGGGTGATGGCTGGTGGTGGTGAGTGGTGGTAGCAGGTGGTAGTGGGAGGTGGGTGGTGGTGGCGGAAGACGATGGTGGAAAATGGTGGAGGGTGGTGGCTAGTGTTGGGTGGTAAAAAAAAAAAAAACTCAAAATTCAAAACAAAAATATATTTTTTGTGTTTTCATTTTTTGGCCAAATTTATAAACTGAGACCACTGATTTATAAATCAAAATTTTTACCAAACAAATTTTTATTTGAGTTTTTAAAATTTTTGTAAATATAAACAGAAAATTGAAAACGTAAGTATTACCAAACGGCACCTTAGCATTTTTGTTTTTATAGAAAATATGCACTTAAGTGTTATGTGTCATAATTTTATGAGTAAAATTATAGACTTACTCAACTTAGTAAGTTAATTTCAACCAATTTAGTGATAATTTTATTTAAAAAACACTAACAATATTATCAATTAGACTAAATTGATACAAAATTTAAAATGAATGGTCAAAATTGAATCAATTGAAAGTGTAGGGACAAAAATGACAGGAAATAAAATATAGAGATTAATGGTATAATTTTCCCTAAACAATAAGCCAACTAACCAGGCATTACGACAAAACCAATAAACTAAGTCTATGTAGGCCTATTGTAAAATTATTTAAGCTTATTTCAACGTAATTCGGGCCAGATTTTAAAAAGTTTGTTAGGCCATCTTGATCCCTTAAATTTTTACTCAAATTTAAGAAAAATTATTCATCCACATAATTCCCTCACCCCAAACCCCCCCAAATGATGTGACAAGCAAAATTTGAGAAATTGACCTACATTCAAATATTTCTTCAAAACTCTCTTTACATGCATTTTATTTTGCCATCTCATTAGGGGAATTGTGGGGGAAAGAAATTGTGTGGATGTAGCACTGTTGCAAATTTAATTAAAATTCTAAGTTTGATTTGATATGACATTCCAATGGATAAACTTAGGTTTAATTGTAAATTTGAGTAAAACTTCAGTAATGGCAGAGTGGTAATTTGAAAATTACAAAATGATCTTGAAAGAAATTCGAGTATATATTTATGTCTCCTTTAATTTGCGTTGAAAAAGGGGTAAAACTTAATTTCATATAAATTTGAGTCAATGAGTGAAGAGGTGTTTTGCAAGATTTTTATCCAAATTTAAATTTGATAAACCTTGTTTGATCGTTGATTAATATAATTAAAAAATCATTATAAATTATTATATTACTCTATCTATTTTTCATAAAAAATCAAAAAATTAATTAAAATAACCACTTCTCAAACCATAGGGGTTGAAAATGTCCTTAGATGGTGGTTTTTAACTTTTGCTTGTGTGGGAAGATTTTTTAATTGGAAATTTACTTAATTATGGTTTCTATATGAACAGTTCCCCCCACTTATTTCTCTCCTACTCTCAAATCTCTATGACTAATAAGGACAAAAAGGATAATTACACAATGGGGGTGATGGAACCAACTTAACCAATGCAATCATGAAAGCTACACTAAACCCACTCTTCAGAGTAAGTAAATCTCGAATCCTTAAAATTGTCTATAAATCACATGTATCGGTTAAGTTTAAGAAATATTAGTGAGAGTCAATCTCGATATGTTAGGATTTACAATTCATTCTAAGGATCTATCCTTTTTGCCACTAGGCAAAATCATTCATTTACATTATCACATTTTTTACCATCTCATTTGTCACAATTGCCTTGAAATTGTCACTAGTGATGGAATCAACTTAACCAATGCAATCGTGACCCTGAGATGATAAACTAAATATCATTGAAAAAAAAAAATTAGTATTATTGGCCATTCATTAATCATATAGATTAAAAAATAATTATTATATCTTTATATTGAAATTTATGTTCTATTATTAATTATTTTTATGTTTACGTATTATTTGTATTAGTTTCGTTTCCCCTCCTTCCTAACCAGATCATAATATTTATCTCAAACTTCTAAAATTACTAGTGACAAACGGAACTTGCCTTTTTTTATTGGACAAATTACATTAGTGGTTTCTAAAATTTTCACGTTGAATCAATTCCACAATATCTTAGCAAAACACCATTGACAAAAAGATTTTTTTCAAAGTAATATAAGAAAATTTACAAACAATTCCATAAAGAACTTGGTTAAGTTTTTTTTTTTATTTTAAGAAGGAAAAACTTGGATCAGTTCTATTGCCCAAAATGATAAATAGCATGCAATAAAGATGAGGAGGTGTTGATGAGAAAGATGAAATCTCACAATCTATAGCAATTCACTACAAAAAATTACACTTTTGTGACTAAATTTTTAGTCGCCAAAAGTCATATTTTTAGTCGCCAAAGAGTTTTCCCGACTAAATAGTTTGGTCACCGGCATGGTCACAGAAAGATTGTCGCGGAAGCTATTGGCGACTAAAAAAAATTTAGTCGCTGAAAGTGCTAAATTGGCTACTAAACAATTAGTCGCCAAAAGTGAAGGTATTGGCGACAAAAAAAATTTAGTCATTGATATTCTAAATTGGCGACTAATCTTTTAGTCGTCAAAAGCTTTCAAAAAAATTAATATCGCATTTTTAGCGACTAAATCATTTAGTCGCTAAAACTAGAATTATTTTCCACGACTAACTTATTTAGTAGCAAAAATTTTTTTTTTGTTCATCTTAATTTTTTTAGCTACTAAATATTTTAGTCGCCTAAAGTATAATTTCTTTTAGCTACTAAAAATTTAGTCGCGTAAAGTCTATTTTTTTTATTTGGTTACTAAAATTTTAGTTGCTAAATTATTATTTTTTTCATTTTATTTTTTTTTAGCTACTAACTATTTAGTTTAGTCACTAAAAATATTTACTTCCTTTTTGGCTACCAATTATTTAGTGGCAAAAAACATGATATTATTATTATTTTAATTTGTCCATAACATAAAACATGGTATTAAAATTATTTTTATAATTTGTCCATAAAATAAAGTTCAAAACCAAATCTTCAATCATAGAAATATGATTTTTACAAGTTCAACTTCATTTTGAATTGCTGAAAGCGAATAGGTGCACCCACCAATAACATACTTAAAATCCCCCATCAGTTTCCTATGCTCTAGAGCTCCAGTAGGATGACCCCAAACCAAAATTGCGTGAATGGCCAACATACAAAAGAGATTTATAAAAAAAAGCCATCTTCTCCTCCCTTGACATATCCTGTAGATCTACTCTTTGAAGCTCCTCAACTATTCTTAAATACCTACAAAAGATTTTTTAATTCAATGGCCACAAGTTCTTGAATATACATCCATGTTCATAAAAGCATACAAGTTAATTAAAAGACCGCAACAAGTTTATCCATATAAATCAAAGGTTCCAACAAACCTTGCAAATTCCTCACTCCCATGAATACTTCTGTAATCAACATGTTTTCCATCTTCCGATGCATAAGCTTCAAAGATTGCATACGACAAAAATCTAAGCCTTGATGAAATTTCTATTATCGGCTTTGGCTTTACTTCTGTTATAACACTTGGAATGTTGTGACATTGAGACATCACAATAGGATCATGATCCAAGAAGCGGTACAAGTGATTTCCATCTTCAAATAAGTTCTCGCTAAAGCAATGTAAAACCAGCACAGATAATGAAAAAATATAAATTTCTATCAGAAATATGAAATCATGTGTGTTTGTTTCTCTGTTTGTGTGTGTGTGTGTGTGTGTGTGTGTGTGTGTGTGTGTGTGAGAAAGAGAGAGAGAGAGATTAACACATTAAAAAGTTGAGTTTAGTTACTCACTGAAGAACATACTGGAAGAAGAGTTTGCTTGCAAGGTTTCAACCAAATTCTCTAGCCTATTTGCAACACAGGAACAGATAGAAAAATGGTCAGCAAGGATAAAGCAGAAAAATCATAATACTAAATGGCAAAAATGGAATACTAAGATGGTCTCAATAAACAATCAGCCAATTACATTTAACATTGATTAACATTGTTCTTTCACAAAGTGAACTATAAGCTATAGCTTTAGCACAAAGGGAACAGGTTGTATTCTTTACTTGGTTAAGCCAAATTTAACCAAGGTAGTAGTTCAACTTTCTCAAATACTTCAACATTCTTAAATAATCAACTTATCAAGTTGACAGTTAGACGTAGATGACTCTATATTGTAATTTAACTTTCATCATCATGTCTCTTCTTTCCAACTGGATTTGAGTAAGTCTACATATACAAAAATTAAACTACAAAATGGACTGGACCCTATCGTGCTGACGTATACATTCTTATTACTTTTTTGAAGCTTAATTTTATGTACGTAAACTTACACATTAAAATTCCACATAGAATGTGTTTCTTTAGCCATGTAAAGTGGAGTAATGCTATACAAACTAACAAATCATGCAAGCTTTTTTTACTTACTGATATGGCATTGAGTCTTGTTTCTGTTTCTAAAGTTTCATCATTGCATGACACATCAGTTAATAAATAGTGTTTCGTTTAGTTTCTATTCAAAAATATGACTAAATAGTTATGTAGAACCACAAAAAATCAGTTTCATCTGCAACTTTACCCTCATCACCATGTTTGTGATCACCAACCGATGATTTATCATCGAGGCAGCTGTTTAGTGGTGCACCACAAAGGCCATCGTTGCCTATATAAATGGAAGGATTGTCGAGAGTTTGAAGTTGATTTCCTGTTGGTATTCGCCCTGATAAATTATTGAATGACATGTTCAAATGACTTAGGTAGCTTAAATTGGACAGACTTAGAGGAATGGGGCCAGAAAGTTTGTTTCGAGACAAATCAAGAGATTCCAATTGTGTCAAATTGCCAATATTATTAGGGATCCTTCCTTTTAGATGATTTCCAGATAAATTCAAGTTCAGCAACCCAGAAAGATCCATTAACTCTTCTGGAATCTCTCCAACAATGCCATTGTTCGAAAGGTCCATGGAGACGAGAAATTTGAGTGTCTTGGTGTATTCCAGTTCTCTTCCTTTCATTGAATCCAAAATGTTCTCTTCATAATTTGCTTCAATAGAATAATTAACTGGATAAGAAAAGTGCCCACGATGTAGGTCAACCATGGCAGTGAAGTTGCCAAAACAACGAGGGATATTTCCCGTTATGTTATTTTGTGCCAAGTTCAACAATTGCAAATTTTGGAGACAACAGAGTTGTGGAGGAATATCACCATAGAAATTATTTGATTGAAGATTGAGAAATTTAAGATTAGTTAGGTTATATCCAATCCATGGAGGGATATTATCAGTGAACACATTTTCACCTAGATCAATGGTGAAAAGATCCGTCAAATTCTGTAAGGACAAAGGAAGCTTCCCATAAAACTTATTGTTACGCAAGTGCAAGGATTGGAGAGAATATAGGGAACCCAATGAACTTGAAATTTCACCGTATAGACTATTATTCGTCAAATCTAGCACCATCAACTGATTCAACTGCCCCAAGCAAGGAGGAATTTTTCCTGATAACTGATTGTTTGAGAAATCAATAAGAATTATATTCTTTGCCTTGCACAAAGACACTGAAATGACACCAGTCAAATGGTTATTTGAGAGACCAAGAGATGTGAATGCATTATCATCACTCACAGTAATAGGTCCTGAAAGGGAGTTGTTGGAGAGATCTAAGAGATCAACATATGAAGGAAGCGGTGTTAGTGGGCCCTCAAATCTGTTAGAACTCAATTGTAACGATTTAGTGGGCCCTCTATATTTACATTTTTGAAATGTCGGCACCTTTCCTTTGATCTGGTTGTTGGAAAGATCCAAGTCTATAATGCCACAATAAATAATCTCAAACCAATCAGGAATGACAGCTGAGATGCTTGCATTAGACATGTATAAATTTGTAACCTTTTTTTGTGTTTCGAGCCATTGAGGAAATTGGGGTCCTACTTTGATGGATGACAATTCTATGCCTTGGAGTTGAAAGGGAGGAACCCATTGGGAGGTCACATTCAAAACTACTGAATTTGATTCCAAGAGCAATTCATTTAAACTCTTGAGTTTGGCAAAGTGAAGTTCAGATACGGTGCCGACAAATGAATTGTTTGACAAATCTAGAGATTCTAGTTTTGAAAGTTGTCCAAGACTAATTGGAATGCTCCCATTCAATTGATTGCCTCCAACATCTAACTCTCTCAAATATGATAGTCTTCCGAGTGATGATGGCAGCGGACCATAAAATGAATTCATTCTAATAATAAGCCTCTCTAGTTTCTTAAACTCTCCCAAATGGTTTGGCAGACCACCACTCAACTTATTTGAAGAAAGATACAAATCTTCCAAACTATTATGGATGCAACCAAATGGACTTCCGATAGAAGTTGAAAGCTTTCCAGTGAACATGTTATAGGACAAATCCAATACACGCAAGTTGCAGAGGTTCCTCATGGAGTTTGGTATTTCACATGCAAATGCATTCCAAGAGAGGTCAAGCTCTGTAAGTTGTGTCATATTTCCCATCTCACTTGGAATTGGACCTTGAAGATAATAATTTGCATTCAACCTGAGGATGGAAAGAGAAGCAAGATTCCCAAGGCAATGGGGGATTGCACCTCTAAGGCTATTATAACTAAGATCTATCTGGACAAGACTGCTCAGGTTACACAAAGAATACCACATTGAATCATTGAAGTTGTTACTTGAAAGGTCAAGGACTGTGAGAGAGGTCAACCTTCCAAGTGTATCAGGAATTGGACCAGGTAAATAATTATAGCTAAGGTTGAGATACTGCAACCTTGAAAGATTTCCCAGATTATGAGGAATCGTTGCATCGAAAATTGACAAAGAGAGGTCAAGGTATCTCAAGCTTTTCAAAGATCCTAAGGAATTAGAAATTTGCATATCGTTCATGCTCAAGTCTAGGTAATGCAAATGATTCAAATCGAGTAAGGAAGGACTTATCTGACCACCCAATTTGTTCATTTCGAAATTTGAATAATCGCCAGAGAAGATCCAAGATGGTTTGCGAATTGGATTACGCAGATCAAGCTTCACAACATGGCCTGTTTTGCTGCTACAACCAACTCCCTTCCACGTACAACAGTCCTCTCCAACCCACGAGGATAAACGATTTGCTTCATCTGTCAGATTTCCTTTGAATTTCATAAGCGCTTCTCGCTCACTCGCTATGCAACTCACATTTGAATTTATACTACTACAAATGAACTTAAATCTTTCAATGAAAAAAAGAGCAAATAACATCACAAGTGCACTAGAGGTTGTGCCCATAGCTTCTGGGTGTGGAATGTAATTTTGATGCCTGTGTTGAAAGATTAGAGTTTTATAAATTGTATAAGAAGACTTGATTGTTTTGAAAAGTCTCAAGCCATGAGCAACTAGTTATACTAATAATTATTATAATATAATGTATATAATTAAAAATTATTAAAATATGTAAATAAGAATACATTTATGTCCAAGTCAAGTCATCAGTGCATTGTCATTCCGTCTTCTTGGGGGTACAAACTCTTATTTCTTGTCTTTGGTGTGTTAGGTTCATATCGGAAAAGAGCAATGATAAAATTATCAAAATTGGATCGTCTAGTCCGACTTATGGGTTCATTTTGGACTCTGTTTTGATAATTTGAACAATTCAATATATAGAATTTGTCGAATATTATATCCTTATAAAAAATTACATTGGTTGGATATCAATAACTATTTGATCGGATCAAATTTGTATAAAAAAAATTGGACGGTAAAAAAATAAACGATTGACAAAAATCTAATCAAATTAAATAACTATTAATATCTGATCAATATGATTTTTTATAGGGATATAATACTCAACGAATTATACACATTAAATTATTTAAATTATCAAAATAAGACCAAAAAATAAATCCATAAACCAAACTAAACGACTTAATCTTAATCTCAAATATGATACAAGCTAAACCCTTTATAAACTGTATAAGAAGACTTGATTTTGAAAAGTCTCAAGTCATGAGCACTTAGTTATAATTATTATTATTATAATATAAAATATATAATTAAAAATTATTAAAATATGTAAATAAGAATTTATGTCCAAGTCAAGTCATCAGCGGATGGCCATTCCGTCTTCTTGGGAGTACAAACTCTTATCTCTAGTCTTTGGTGTGTCGGTTCATTTTGGAGAAAGTGCAATGATAGAATTATCAGAACTGGACCGTCTAGCCCGGTTTATGGATCTATTGTGGATTTTGTTTTGATAATTTGATCAGTCTCGTCGAGTATTATATTTTTGTAAAAAATTACATTAATTGGATATTAATAGTTATTTGATCGGATCATATTTGTATAAAAAAATAGACGGTGAAAAAATAAATAATTGACAGAAATTTGATCCGATCAAATAATTATCGATATCCGATTAATGTAATTTTTTACAAGAATATAATATTCGACGAATTTTATATATTGAACTATTCGGATTCTCGTCAAAACGGAACCTAAAAATAAATTCATAGACCAGACTAAATGATTCAATCTTAATCTTAAGCACGAGACAAACTGACCCTTTATACACTCTATGGCCCCGTTTGTTTTCAGAGATAGAATGGAGGGGATTCATAATGAGATGATTAATAGTGAGGAATTGTTAAATTATTTTTATATAAAATAATAAAACAAATAAAAAAATATAAAAAATTAAACATTATATTTAAAAAAAATTCCCAACATATAAAAAATATAAAAAATAAAAAAAAATTTAATCCCCTCACTATTTTTCTAATACCATCTCTACCTCCTCCTTACTAATCTCCCTTCCTCCTCTTTACTAATACCAAGAGATTACTAATCCCCTCCCTATCTCTCAAAACAAACACCCCATATAAGAAGACTTGATGGTTTTGAAAAGTCTCAAGTCATGAGCCCCTGGTATAATTATTATTATTATTATTATAATATAATGTATATAATTAAAAATTATTAAAATATGTAAATAAGAATACATTTATGTCCAAGTCGAGTCATCAGTGGACGGC